ATAATAAATTAATATAATAATAATGTAATAAACTGTAATATATAAAACCAAAAATATAAAATAATAAAGTAACATAAAAATAATAAAATAATATATTTTTTAATATAAATATATAAAATAAAACAAAATTAATAAAATATAAATATATAATTATTGAGTTGATGTTTATGAAAAGAAATGATGAGTTCAATTTCCAAAAAAATCAACACCCCCTATTAAGGGGTGCCATTAGCACTCCTCATTCCAAATGGTGGAACGAGAATACGAATGAAGCGGAGATTAGGAATCACGCGCTCAGAGAGAACTCCCATTCCCATAGTGTAGTGTAGCAGTAGCATCACTACATGACCTACGTGGCCCCGATCTACTGGGAAAATGATGGTTTTCTTTTTCTTTTTCCGTAACGGCTTAATTACGATCCCATATAACATATCTTTTTTCAAATTCAGAAAATATATTATACTCGCTATTTTAATTATAAAAAAAATAACAAAGAAATGTCTTTTCCACCCTGTAACCCTTTTCCTATTTTATATAATTAAAAATTATTAAAATCGAGGTGTGTGCAAATTGTTTCGAACATTCATGGTTTAACACAAAAAATTCTACTATTAGATTATAACTAATTTTTGTTTGATTACATCAATTTAAATAGATGTACCTGTAAGGTGCCTAATTTTTTTCCATTACATTGGAACAATACATGTATAGATGCACCCCTCTTTTTTATACTGAAATCCGCCTCTACATGTGTTGCATATTTTTTATAACTTAAAATATCCTTACTAGCAATCACTGTAATTTATTAATTAATTTCTTACAATATTAAACGGCAATCATACTATATCCTTTTATCATCTTATCAAATAATATTCTAGATCTTTCTCATACATATCAAATATGAAAATGACACTTATGAATATCTCCAACAAAATGGAGAATCAAAGTTCAAAATCTCTAAAAAATTGCATTCAACTCCAACAATTATCCATTTTTAGAAACTATATCATTAATTATATTATTAAAATATTTATACATTCAATTAAATATTATTTCTTTTTTATAAACATTTCATTTCAAGGTTTTTTATTGATGGAATATAATAAAGAAATAATTTATCTTTCGTGGTGCCTATTTTTAAAGAGTTCTTTAAATTTGGAGAAATCTATACTTTTTTTAATTCATCTATATATTTTGTGTTATAACTAAACACCAATCCGACCGACCTTAATTTGAAACCTAAAAGTTAAAACCGAATCAGAAATCCGATCGAACTTTTTATTTGTCCACCCAAACTCATTGTGAGCATTTACCAGTAAATTTTTAGTGAACCAGCCATCGATGTAAAGAAGGGTTCATGTAAGTAAATTGACTGATAGGGTGAGGTAAAAAGGGGGCGGGCCCCTTCATCTCTTGTTGTAAACCCGTGGACTCGTAATCTTTTTCTCTCTCCGACCCACTTCTCGCGCTCATCTCTGTCTCTCTCTCTCTCTGGAGGGACTTGGTAAACTGCCCAGAAATATCGTGGAAACTTCCTCTATTCCCCACCCCTGTATCGTGTATAATCCATTTTTATTTCAAAACGAAGCCCCCAGAAATCTTTCCATCTATTACTTGGTTGTATGATTCTGTTTCTATTTCATTCAACATCGAAGACTTCACACTTTGTTCAACATCTGTTCTTGTACGACTTTTTCTGTTTTATTATTTTATTACTTAATTTCTGTTTCTTTGTTGAAGTCGTTTCAATCAAGATTTTCTGCATCATCATCATCCATGCGTCTTTCTTMTATGTTTCTGTTTCTTTGTTGAAGTAGTTTCAATCAAGATTTTCTGCATCATCATCATCCATGCGTCTTTCTTGTATGTTTCTGTTTCTGTTTCTTACTTGTAACTTAATCTCGTCTGTGAAGTTTGAATTTGACTTGGGTGTTATTGATTTGGGGGTAGTCTTATTGCTTTTCGTTTCTTGATTTCATAAATGGAAGTGGGATTGCTTTCTTTGAATTCCGGATTAGGTTAGGATTAACTGATTTAAGTGATTATGAAAACTTGCGAATTGCAAGTCTTTCTGTTGTTTGTTTGATGAATTGAAGAGTTTACTGTTGGTTTCTATAATTGACTTTCTTTGATAGAATAGAATATACAGTTTGCCTTGGAAGGTTCTTAGATCGTAGTTTAGTTTGATACCAATCGAAAAAGATTAATCTTTCTTGAACAATATAGTCTAAATAGGGGAAACCCTTCTCTTTATTTGTTTGTAACTCTAAAAGGAACTTGTAAACTTGAACACTTTTTGTTGATACTACCACTGGCACTGATGTTAATGTATTTGACTATTTGGAGATCAGGCATTACCCATTAGTTGGCCGAGTATTGTGGCTTGTATGCTATGTTTTATGAAACATTATGTGGTAAGCCCACCTATAACTATAAGTTTGATTATTTGATATTTAAAAAGGTACTTGCTTTTAGATCTTCAATGTTTCCTGTTGTATTGCCAAATTGGCCCTTTGCCACCACACCACCACCACTATTACCATCTCCATTGTCGTCAACACTTTCCCATTCCGTTATTCTATCATCCGGTTCTCCAATTTATCGCCATCATATGAATCGAATAAATTTGATTCATGGGTAAAAAAGAGAATTCTGCTATGGTTGGGATGTTAACATTTGGGCCTATGAACATCAAGTAAAGGAAAAAATAGCAAACAATCATTTTTTGCCAGAACGGTACATAAAAGGCTATCTGGCTGGAGTGAAGTGGTTTCACAAACACATGTTTTAGGCCTAATGTATTTAATCTGTGCTATATGTTATACGTACCACTTGCCTTTAGATTCATTATATAAATTGTAAGTGATGCATTCGTGTTTATGTACAATATTTGTGATCTAAATGGGATTTGTATATCTCTCTCTCCAGTGGTTCACCTTCAGCATTCTGAGTTGATTCAAGAAGTCTAATTATTTATGGAATTGAAGGCACCCGCTTATTTAACGAGAGTTGAGAGGCTGGTGCTGCAATTTGCACTCTTTTGACACATAATCTATAGCAATGAATCATCCACCTGAGAAGTTTGTGAGGTTAGATCTTGTTTAGGATGTTCCATTGGAATTAGTAGTCTATTTTAATTGTCAGAACCATAGTTATATTAGGACCATGCTCTGTTGTGTATTACTTACTATACGATATTTGATATTAATGACCAGGTTTCAGGATTGGAAATCAGATAACAGCAATGGGCAATACTCTACAAGTAATGGAGGTTCTTCACAGAGATTTAGATCAACTTTAGGTTCAGTTTCCAATATGTTCCGAAAAAGCTTGGAACATGGTTCTGGAGGGTTTAAAAGCTTGAAAAGATCAATGGAATCTCATTCCTTAAATAGGATTCTGAGTAGAGGCCTTGGTTCTGGGAAGAAAACGCTCAACCCACAAGGGAAATTTCTTCAGAAGTGGAACAAAATATTTGTGTTGTCGTGTGTGATTGCTGTTTCTGTGGATCCGTTATTCTTTTATATTCCGATAGTCAAAGATGACAAGAAGTGCCTTGATTTGGACAAGAAGTTGCAGATCACAGCTAGTGTTTTGCGTTCCTTCACTGATATCTTCTACATAGTTCATATTATCTTTCAGTTTCATACTGGTTTTATAGCTCCTTCTTCCCGAGTATTTGGTAGGGGTGTTCTAGTTGAGGATGCTTGGGAGATTGCAAAGAGATATATGTCCTCCTACTTTCTTGTGGACATTCTTGCAGTTCTTCCATTGCCACAGGTGATAACCAAATCTAGTCAAATGTATGCTTTACAAGTTCATGCTTTATGCTTAATTACTTCTTGTATCCCAAAATAAATGTGCAATGGTGGTTCGGCACATAGATTGATCTAATTGTATAACTGTTTAGTCAAGTTTAAAAATATCCCTTGGTGATGACGAATGGAGGAATCTTTTCTTTTTGAAGTATATAATATTTATATATGGCAAATGAACTCACACACCCTCCTCACCTTTGGTGAGGTTTGAACCCTTGACCTCCTGAGAGGCTGGGCTCTATTGGTAACGTGGATACCGCTAGGCCAAAGTCCCTTTGGTAAAATGGAAGAATCTTGTTGACCCAAATCAATGCTTTCAATTATATTGTAGTGGCTACTGATGAGCAAAGAGGTAGTTTTAGATTGAAACTTGCCAAAATAGGAAATGTTTCCTGATGGAGGGAATATGATACGGTATTATTTTCTCTTGATTATTTGTTTTTCTTGAATGTGAATCACCAAAATTCCACTGAATTGATCTTCTTGTGTAATCTCAGGTTGTGATTCTGATCATCATACCGAAGATGCACGGGTCAAGATCTTTGAATACGAAAAACTTGTTGAAGTTTGTTGTTTTCTTCCAGTACATCCCGAGGATGCTTCGAATCTATCCTCTGTATAAGGAAGTCACAAGAACTTCTGGAATACTTACTGAAACTGCATGGGCTGGAGCTGCTTTCAATCTCTTCCTTTATATGCTGGCTAGTCATGTAAGAGGTGGCACAAATTGAGTTTGCATTTTTGGATTACATTATATTTAACCAGTCTTGCCTTTTTAGTTTTCGTCTGAAAACTCAGGTTTTTGAAGCTGCAATAGGTTAAGGGTGTGGTTGGTTAGAATCAAGAAATGGGAATGGGTATAAGTTTAATTTTTCCCAAACTAAGTGGGAGTACATGATTGCCCATAACTCAGTAATGAGTTATTCCGTTATACCCAACCAACCATCATTACCATTCTTGTTCTTTATCATCCCAACCTCCCAACCAACCAAGCAAAATTAATTTATTTATGTTTCAATTTGACAGTCAAAATGGCTGGTTGGATTTTCACCATTTCGCTAGATAACAATATTATTCTACTACCTCAACTGCTGATTACAGTTGAGTTTGTCTTGATGTTGTAGGTTCCTATTTTTCTCTAGAAATTTCGTGGAAGTCTTGTTTCATTAGTTTATACATACTAATCATGTTATATGCTATATTATAAACACTTTTTAAGTGTCTCATGATATTTTATTGATATCAGGTATTTGGGGCCTTTTGGTACTTGTTCTCTATTGAGCGTGAAACCACCTGCTGGCGACAGGCATGTGGAAATATATCAGCAACGATTGTAGATGGGACAACTCCAGGCTGTGTCCATTCTTCATTTTATTGCCAGGATGAATCACATCCTGTGGGGTATTTGAATTCAAGATGCCCCATACAGGAATCAAACAACACTCCTTATGATTTTGGAATCTTTCTTCCTGCCCTTCAATCTGGTGTTGTAAACTCGACTGATTTTCCACAAAAATTCTTCTACTGTTTCTGGTGGGGTCTGCAAAATCTGAGGTATGAATGCCTCAATTTCTCAGAGCCCTTTCAGTTTTTGGCTCTAGTTTTCTATCATGCATCTTTACGTCCTCTCTCTATCTAGTATAATGATAAGTAGCCAATTCCCATACATGATGCGATTTTCTTGGTCAATTTTGCAGTTCGCTTGGTCAAAATCTTAAGACGAGCACCTTTGTGTGGGAAATTTGCTTCGCGGTGTCCATCTCTATAGCTGGTCTGGTTTTGTTCTCATTTCTCATTGGGAATATGCAGGTTGGTAACTGATATTTCTTTCTATAGGTCGTGTAAATAATTATGTGCACTTGTATGTGGGTGTGTGTATATATATATATATATATATATATTTGTCATTAGGATCATCGTCATGCTTTTAGCAGCTTATGCATGTTTGAGGTTGTATTCGGTTATTGGGATTAATAGATTAATAAGGGTGTGCATAAATCTGTTTGAAACTAAGGATTTGGATCTGAACCATAACTCATTTGTAGTGTCAACATTTGAAGGTTTATCTAACTTGAGATCTAATGGTGTGAGTACAGACGTACCTGCAGTCCACAACCCTAAGATTGGAGGAGATGAGGGTGAAAAGACGAGATGCAGAGCAGTGGATGTCCCACCGTTTGCTTCCAGATCCTCTTAAGGAGCGAATCAGGAGGTATGAACAATATAAATGGCAGGAAACTAGAGGTGTTGATGAAGATAATTTGATCCGAAACCTTCCAAAGGACCTCAGAAGGGATATAAAACGACATCTATGTTTGCAACTGCTAAGGAGGGTGAGTTCTTTTCATTCTTTCTTTCTTTGCCTTGCATAAACTCGCTTAAAACGAATTGGAACTTAACCTCTCCTGTAAATATCCTCATTTGTTTTCAGGTTCCCATGTTCGAAAAGATGGATGACCAACTAATGGATGCACTATGTGACCGTCTCAAACCAGTCCTTTATACCGAGGATAGCTACATCGTGAGGGAAGGGGACCCAGTTGATGAGATGCTCTTTGTAATGCGAGGCAAATTATTGTCGGTTACAACCAACGGAGGTCGAACGGGCTTCTTTAACTCTGATTATCTGAGAGCAGGTGATTTTTGTGGTGAGGAGCTTCTTACATGGGCCTTGGATCCCCATACATCATCCAACCTCCCAATCTCTACAAGAACTGTCCAAGCACTTGAAGAAGTGGAGGCATTTGCCTTGATGGCTGATGACCTGAAGTTTGTAGCCTCTCAGTTCCGCAGACTTCACAGCAAGCAGCTACGCCATACTTTCAGGCTCTACTCGCAGCAATGGAGAACGTGGGCGGCTTGTTTCATTCAGGCGGCATGGCGGCGGCATTGTAGGAAGAAGTTGGAGGACTCACTTCGGGAAGAAGAAGACAGGCTGCAAAATGCGTTAACTGGAGGCGGTGGGAGTGGTGGGAGTTCACCTAGTTTGGGTGCCACAATTTACGCATCAAGATTTGCGGCTAACGCGCTCCGTGCTTTGAGGCGAAATGGTGCAAGGAAAACAAGAATTTCTGAGAAATTACCACCCTTGATGCTTCAGAAGCCAGCAGAGCCAGATTTCACTTCTGAAGATAAATGAAACTCTTAGCTCTGCATTTTTAAACCCTTCTAGGGATTGTTTATATTATGTTGTACAAGGAGAACATCTTATTTGTATTGCTGTAAAAGATACAAAATATCCAGTCAAATGATTGTTAACATTTATAATTGTAGATAAATTGGGAGTTTTTGATTAAATACCAACAGCCATTAATGGGCATTGAAATATGAAGTGCATAAAATGAGAGAGAGCCATCAATGGAATCTGAATCCGGCATAGGCTGATACGACTTTCTTGGTGGTCATTGTTATCCTCCACACCAAGAAAATGGTTATCGGCAGCCACGGCATTTGATATTTAAATAATTCCAAACAACAAAAAACAGATTGAACGGGTCAAATTCCAGCATCCAGATGAAGTTTAAGGAAAGATATACGTAAAGTATAGATACAACCAAAGAAGATCAAAAGAGATGGTTGGATAACACAAGATGTCTGACTTCTGGCTTCACCTTGGTAGACCTGCTGTTCTTTAATATGGTATCTAAAGTGGCTATAGCTTCCAAAATATGCTTCCCTTTGTTCAACATTATGCAACTTGCCCTGTAAGATGGAATATGGCTTAGTTTCAGACCCAAATACATTTTATTTCTTTTAAAGCCAAATTACATGACAAAGTAACGTACTTTAACTTGATTTTTATTTTGGATAACGTATTTTCAACTCTTTCATTTTGATACCTAAGATGTAAAGTTTTAAATATTTAAGTACTCAGGTAACCAGTTGAAGGATTAACCGGTTATCATGCTAATGTGGTGAGTGATGTGGTATCCAACTCAATATTATTTGCTAACGTGGTTAGTGACATTTTCTATCTAAAATTAGTCTTTTTTTTAATCTAAAATTAGTCTTCAACCGGTTACCCGAGTACTTACATGTTTAAAACTTTACATTCTAGGTACCAAAATAAAAGTTTTGAAAGTAAGTTACCCAAAATAGGAATCAAGTTAAAAGTACGTTACCATTTCATGCAATTTGCCCTTCTTTTAAAACATCATAATCACAAGAAGTTCGTTTTTGATTTTTTTGAAGGGTACAGATAATAAGAATTCTGATACTGACCTTCGTCCACAAGCCACGTCTGTTATCTCAGCTCTAGTGGGCACACCGGTCTTTACAAGTGACTCAAGTACTTGTGTTGCCCAAATAACTGGGACATGTGCTGCGTTACAAATCGAAAGAATCTGTTCTTGAATATCTGCCATCATCTCCCATCCACACTCAACTGCAAGATCTCCTCTGGCAATCATAACCCCCAAAGGGTTTGGTAGCTTCATTGCCTCTAAAAGCATGATAGGCAAGTTTTTAACCCCATCTTTAGTTTCAATTTTCAAAACAATTCCCAAGTGCTTAAGTTTCCTCTTCTCCAGTTCTTGTCTAAGCACAACAATATCATGAGCATCTCGAACAAATGAAATCCCAACAATATCAGCATTGGTAGCAACAAAGTCAAGATCCATGATATCTTTGGAAGTCAAGCCTTCATACTGAATTTTGCTTTCGGGAATGTTGATGGATTTCTCAGGGCCTAGTTTAGTACCTCGTGGACCAGCATAAGTAATGGAAACAACTATTTCTGAAATACTGGTCCCCTTGATAACCCCCCATATTTTTCCATCATCAAAAGCAATAGGCTCTCCAGGTTTGACTGAATCAAAGAGATACCCAGAAGAACAAGTTATTCTAGGAGTGCCAACCATGGAAGAAGTTGATTGTTGTTGTTCGTTTGAGCTATCTCGTGTTATCACTAGCAAGTCTCCAACTTTCAATCTAATGAATGACTCTGTGGGAGGAACATCCACCACAAATCCAATCGAGGACTTTTTCTTGTTCCCCTTGATATACAATTCTGTACCTGTCTGAACATAAGCAGTTTTTGTACAATCGGCCATGAATCCAACACCAGTAAAGACAGGGAATTTCTTTGAAATCATAAGTGACCTTTGTTTTCCTCTGGCATCACTGAATCTAACAGTATCACCAACTTCCAGCTTTGTGAGAAACTCTTTGCTGTCCACATATAGGACCACATCAGGAGATACATGAGCAGGTGGCGGACCTGCTCCTTCTGGAGCCAGCCAAACCTGGGCAGAGTTGATCACATTTCCAATGGCGCTCTTTTTTGGAGATATTTTCATGACACATGGTCCAGCTTTCATCCTACCAGTTCGTAGCTTTGGTCCAGCCAAATCCATGAGAATCCGACATGATTTCTCCAGCATTTGAGAGTTTACTTTTGCTCTTCTGATTATCTCACTCCAAACACTTGGATCACCATGAGCACAGTTGATACGAATGATTGTGGCGCCTGTCTTAATAATATCATTAATAAACGTTTCATTCGCTATGGCTTCTTCACCAACTGTGACCATGATATGAGTTCTTTCATCTTGAGGTGGACCAATCAGAATGTCCCGGTTAGAATTTGCCCTATTTGTCATCATACCTATTGTGAACTTACTGTTGGAATAATTTTTTGAACTTTTGTCATTTGCTATACCATCGACTCTCTCATCACCATCTAAAGAGCTAGATTTTAGGTTTTCCAACATCTGGATTCCTGCAGAAAGGCTTGCAATGACATATGGATTGATTGTTTCCAAGTTTAGAAGGCCTACTGAAGAGAGGTCATCTTTTAGCTGGTCAACATCAAGGCTTCTGAGAGCTAAATAATGTATTAGGTTTGCAGCACTCGTGGCATGTCGTCTGCAGATACACGAACAAAAAGACAGTACTATGAGCGTTAAGTGCAGATAATATCTTCCAATTCCTAATTTCCTATACCAGTAAGATGGAGTATACTCGTTAACCAATAAGGTCCTGATAAAGCAAAATAAACAAATATACCTGTGACACAATTTTAATCTGGAAGCATTCCACTGTTCCATTGCTAAAGCATGCATATGAACAGCCTTTAGTTTATCTAGAAGATTTCCCTGGTTTCCCAGGACTTGCGCATTTTGTAAGTGATCTTCACTCAAGTATAATGAAGAAGCAACAATTTCCTTCGCTGGATCATTAGATTTCCTACCGTTCTTTGAAGTTATTAGTGACTGATCAGCAGCGTAGGCACCTACAGTTCTTTCAGGTTCATCGTTTCCATTTCGAATAGCAGAGACAATAGAGGTCAATGGAAGTGCTCGTTTAAGTCTTCTTTGAGCCTGGACAATTTTACCGCCGGAAACTAATATTTTGGCATCAAGTCCACATGATATGTAGAGAGATTTATCATGTAAGTTTGAGGACGCCAACACCGCCGCTTCGGTTGTGTAAGGGCCCTGGAAATTTTGGCCCCAGAAAGAAGGCGTGTTAACTGGCAATTCAAAGATCGGTGAAAATAGAAAATGGAATTTGTGTGAAGCAGAAAAGACAGAAAGGTGCCATCTGCATATAGACGGAAAGGTTTAATGGAATAGAGAAACAAACAATAGTAAATTATGAAAGGCGCCAAGCCATTAATCACAAAAAAGAGGAGTACAATTTTATTATTAGCATAAGATGTATATGCAGCGCAGCAGCTGGTAGATTATAGTTAGTAGAGAAGAAATCAAGATTTTCTTTGTGAACAAACAGTATATTTCTCATAGAACTGTTTCTCGATGCTGGAACCATGCAGGAATATATAAGTATAAATTCGAGTATCTGTAAGCATTAAGCTTGAGAGGCTACTTACATAATTTGAGGCATGATTGATGACTGAGCTAAGTGAAGCTGCACCGAACGACATCTACAAGATAATGTTTCAGCAAAAAGAGGACAATCCAACCTGCAGATGACAGTAACCTGAGGCTATCATTTCAAATACTAAAAGACCCTCATATGGACTCATGATTGCATGAAAGGGCACTACATGTGGTAAACTAGCAATGGAGAAGAAAGAAGAAATTTTGGTTGGATAAGACAAGCATAAACGCGCAGGAGGACATGAGAATTTATGTACTTCTACTTTTAATGTTACAAGAATATCAGGAATACGTTAGGCTCCACATGGACACAAATGATTTGTGGATAATGTACAAAACTTCTTAAAGAGATTTGCATCGAAGGTGAACTTTTGTTGGCATCACACCCATAATACTGGATAAATGCCTAGTTGATCTACAGATCCAAAAGTATTTGGTCTTCTATCCAGATGTTAACTTTGTTGTTCACCAAAGGAAAATTGTTCAATGCAGCTGGAACTCATCTCTAAGAATTGGCACAGAGGCGTACCTGAGTAGGGTTCACTCTTTGAAGAAGGAGGGGGGGGGGGGGGGGGGGGGGGATCAACTGTTCAAATAGAGTGCCATTTATGAGTCAATGTCCTCAAAACTTACTGCTCACAATAATAGACATCCTCCATTCAATATATATAAAACCATTTCCGTTATCTGTTCTGTTCCAAATAAGTGATAAGTGCTTGACTGTTGCGAAAAATCATGAACCTACACAAATCCTTAACTTCAGATAAGAAAACATGAATTTTGTATAACTTGTATCAAAGTCTGGTAAATAACTTTGAAATATTTAGCCCTACACGTTCCGAAGGACCTCTAATGGTTGAGAGGAGCGCATTTGGCTTCCTATGAGCAGGTTTCCAACTTCAAATTCAATATGAGCAATCGGGGAAAAAGATCAAGTGAAGAAGGAACATGATCAGAAACTATAGCCAAATTCATCCCATGCTATCCAAGATGAGGAACAGAAGGACCAAATATTTTGAAGGAAATCAACAAGTGATCATTTCCTAATTTGATTCAAGAACCGAATTGGCTAACATGTTGGTATGGCAGGATCACCAAAACGAAAAAACTCATCGGAAAGGAAAGTTGAACAGGACATACGAAATGAATGGAATGATAAATTATTACCTTCTCGAATGTTGGTGGAATAATGGAGGTTAAAGATGGAGAATCTGTGGAAGGAGAGGATGCGAGAAGAAACAAGGGGAGTGTGGCCAACACGAACGAGGCAGATTCGGTCAGAGGGGCCATTATATTATTACAAGCGATACCTAATTTCTTAAAATAAAAACGAAATTTTCCAAGTTTAAATTTAGATTTTAAGGAAATAATTGGATAAAGAAATAATTTTTTTATTATACATTAATGTTTTTATTAAATCTATGAAATATTTAATATAATTAATGTTGTGACGTTAAAAATGAAGAAATTGATGTAATTTTCTTTTAACGATTTTGTGTTTTGATTGTACATTTTGAAATTTTTTGAAAAATCTAAACGGAAAATGTGGTTTTTGTTCTTTATTTTGATCTAACAAATTCTCTATATTGTTTTATATGATATAAAAACAAGGAAAACTTCAAGTTTAGAGAATTCTTTAAGATTTTATGTGTGGAAAGAGAAATTAAATTTTTATTCATTCTCATTAATAAGATTGAATTATCATTATTTTATATAGTTTCTTTTTAAAAAGTATATTGGAATAATAATTTTATAAAATATTTTAATAATATAATGGATGTTAAAATTTTAAAATAGAGAATTTGTTGGAGTTAAATATTATTCGTTTTGAGAATCTAAATTTTCTGATCTTTATTTTAAATAAATTATAGAAAATCTATTGAAGATGTTCTTACAGCTTATACGCTAGTTTTTTTTCATGACAAAAATACTGATATATACGATGGTAGGAGATAAGTTTTCATTCTCTTTTTTCTTTGAATTTTTACGATTTTCCTTTTTTCCTCTTCCTCTTTTTTTATAAAGCATATGGTACTACACATTCAAAGTTAACCCCATTAGTCTCAAAAATGCAAAGGTTTAAGGTTTGTGACAGCTATATGATTTCTGGACGATAGGTTATGAGTTATGACAGAGATTTCTTCTATTGATTTTAGAATTTCCGATTCGTTTTTTGATTTACTTTAATTGAAATAATAACAAAAATGACTGAATAGGATAAGATATATATGTTTGATCAAACGTACCGTTTAATCCTAAAATCGAATAACCTTAATCTAATTCGGTTCGGTGGTTTGGAACTTTTGACCCCGTAGGTGTGTTATATAGTCATGGATCTGCCTATGATGATAAATCTTATAAGGTTGTTTGAGTGATGGAATTTTTAAAGTATATTTGCAACATTTGATGTTTTTTTTTATTACCCTGGATATCCAACCCGCTATGCGAGCTGACTAATCCCATGACGATCATCTGCTTTGTAGATAGCCCAGAGCCACCGCATTTGAACCTCCATTGCCACAAGGGGATTTTTATTCCTCATTGGATTTGAACCTGAGACCTTCTGGTACTTTTGACCTTTGGAGCCAAGCTCAAACTAATCAGGCACCACCCCTATGGTTGACATTTGACGTTGGTAAGCATACAAACTGAAATCTTTTTTTTTTTTTGATATATATGTTTGTTGATAATCATTTTGAGTTTAAAATTTTGACATTTGAGATAAATAATGTATTAACTTATTCCGGTGTGGTACATGTAATAAGCACTTTTGAGTGTTTGGATACACAACTTATACTAGTGCCAAACCGATAATAAGAAGTTTTTGAAAAAAGTTAATCTCTTATGACTTATAATAAGTTGATAAGTGTTTTTGTAAAAAAACATAAGTTTGTTTCAAATAAGCAAATCTCAAACACCCCTTAATTGGACGAAAACACAATTTTGACATAACTTTTGATACAAAAATCTAAGGTGTGTTTGATTCGTAGAATGAAATTTGATGAAATTGAAATCCATCAAATAAATTTGATTTTGAAGAAACTGAAATGAAATTTGATGAAAATTAATCACGAATTTGATTCCTTGGATAGATTTGCATTCAATTTAATGAGTTTTGGGTTGTCTAAAAATTACTTAAAATAGTTAAGGCCTAGATCCACACCGAAACTAGCTAAGAACCAATTTATAGTCACCAATCCCTTATGAAGTTTTAAATTACCGATTAAGGTTCATCGGTTATAATTTGTTCTTTTTAAAGCATAACATTATACCAAAGATTCACGAGGTGCAAGCTTCCTCCTAAGCGTGTTTTAATTTTTAAACAAACAAAAAAAGCTTTATTTTTAAGAGAAAACCAGACTTAACATATGAAAAAAAGACCAGTTGGGTTTTTTAGGTCTAGGTTTTTTTAAGGTTTTGAAAAAATCTTGGCCTAATTGGGCATTCAGGCCTAGGCTTTATCAATTAATGCGTCGGGCTTTTTATGCATCTCTAACACTCACTTATTGGTCAACGAGTCAGAACCAATTACTTGGTTATATTTTTCGTTGGGACTCTGGAGCGATCATAATAAAAAAATCCATCTCTAAAAGAAACAACGAAGAAAGTTCTACAAAATATTATACCACAATCTTTTGCAATGATCAAGTAATTCAAGTGAACATTTACATGAAAGACAAACAACCACAAAACAATTAGAGGACAAAACAAAGCTTCATGAGTATGAACCTAAGACAAACAACCAAACCTCCCATAAATAACATTGTTTTCACCCTAAATGTTCAATATCTAACATAACATGTATGCTCACAAAACACAATTTCAAACCTCAAAGACAGCTAACTTCCCTCTTGACAAACGAAGGCAAAGCAAAGGCAGCTCGATGAATCTGTTTTAATTTGAAAAATAACAAATTAATCAATTAAGACCATATACTATACCTTAGTCCCTGTTTGGAAAGAGCTTGATGGGCTTAGTGAGCCTTATAACTTAGGTTGTGAGGGTCAGGTTTCTTTATATTACCTCAGAGTTGTAGAATCTTAATTCTCTCCGATGTGCTCCCTTTAGCTTCTCAATGGGGTTTATAGGAACCTTAAAGTCTACAGCCGGTCCATCCGTTGAGCATAGTATGAATCCAATAACACCACTGTATAACCACAATTTGAGTTTTACATCTGTTTGTTTTCTCTATATCTCAACAACAAAATATAGATGAATTCGATTCGCACCTGGGATATGTGGGTATGCTTGCCCATGCATAATGAACAGAACCTTTGAATATCTCACGGCAAGCGGTCACCATATCCTGAATAAGATGAGTGTGGAGCCACATACTCTCTGCCATATTACAAACAACACCTCCAGGCCTTAATGCTTTTGCTATCATCTCAAAGAAGGGCCTTTTCACAAGCTCTTGAGCAGGACCTACACTCAACAAACAAAAAGAAGATACAGATTTACATATATAGGGTGAGGTTCAAGAGAAAACTGCAAAAAAATAAAAAACTGATGAACATCCCGTAACCATTCATCTGTACAGTATGCACTTGTGCATAGAAACCAAGAAACAACTTCAATTACTTGTATGCACATGTGCATATCGTACAGATGAATTTACTAGGGCGAGTTTTTCATTTTTTTGGGTTTCCTCTAAACATCCCCCCCTCTCTCTTTCTATATATATATATATATATATATAGAGGAGTGCTCATATGAAAACCGCCCTCATTTGTGTAAACCGTGCAAACCACCTTCATCTGTCGATTTCATTGTTTAATCTTATGAAATTTTTTCATGAAATTTTTTAATCTTGTGAAATTGTTTCATATAATACTTTTTTTGATGAAGTTGTTTCATATATGGTTGTGAAATTGTTTCATTTAATACTTAATGAAACTGTTTCATGTATTTCTCTAACATTAATGAAACTGTTTCATGTA